GGGCTGTCGCCGGATTCTTGGCATTTGCGTGACGAATGTTTCTCATTATTTCAATACAGTTTTTGAGAATCATTTCATGGAGGACGTCGTCCTCTTCTGCGCATGTGCCTGCTGCCTGATCTGTTCTCTCCTGCACCTGCTGTTCTTGCGAGCCATCGAGCCGAGCGTCGATATTGACAATTGTCGATCGATAGAGGCGTGATATCGAGTACAGCTGCGCATGCGCCCATCATTGCCAACCTTCTCCATCTTGTTGCTGTTTCCTGGCATGTTATTCGAGTGATTGCTGATTGGCGGCTTTACGGGGCGAGGTGCTTGCGGGATTGTGAATTGTGACTCACTGCTGCGCACGTGTCCATCACTACCAATCGTCTCTGGCTATAAGCTGTCTCGGGCGCGTGCTTACTAGTGTCTGTTATACGCCCGAGCGTGTCGATCTGTTGCGCGTGCTATTTCGGTGACTGCCTTTGCGTGGTGCTCTGCTCGCGATTTATACACTGCAACTTTTACGTTGAACTCTGCGTTTTCGCGTGTGATCTACTGCTTGCTTGTCCGACGGGAATGCAGCGTGCGTGCACTAGGTGTAAGAAGTCAATCGCGACTACCTTCGTTGAGTGTGAGTGCAGGCGGGTGTTTTATCCGGGTTGTGTCAAATCATATTCTGTAACCAGATACGCTGACACTTGCTGCAAAGCGTTGTCTATTTCTCTGAGTTTACCTCTTACACCTGAGGTAGAAAATATCGTAAAATCATCCAGTTTTGATACTATGACTACGCCCGTTGGCACTGGCACTCGGTCGCTGCCTCAGTCGCAGTCTCTAGGAGCGCAGCTAGCCGGGCATGACACCGGGCATGACATTGTTCACGACTCTACCAACAATCTTTTGCGTGGATTGATTGAGCAGATAAAAATGTCAGATGCCAAGCTGTCTGCTTTCATCGACAGTCAGCAACGCACAAACAAAGAACTAAGTAATAAACTAAATCACTTGAATCGTCTCACTGACTCCGTGGCTCAGAATAGTCAGCGCATTGCTAAACTCGAGCAAGACAGTGCCGAGCTCACTCGTGTAATTCATGACCTTAAGTCTGCTCAATCTTTTCACGAATCCCATAATGGGAATGAATTGATGGTATCGGGTCTCCCGTCAGCACTACCAATTTCTCCATCCCGGCTCGCGGGAAACGTGTTGACGGCGTTGGGTGTTCCCGACCTGGCATGTCACGTTCTTGGTGCTAGAGTTGTCAATAGGTCACGGTCTGAGTCTTCCACATCCTCGACATCTTCAGGCTCGGTGATTGTCACCCTGGCCTCGAATGCCGTTCGCCACGCGGTTATTATCAAGAAGCGAGCAAGGGGCATACTTAGGGCGAGTGAGGTGTGTGGTGGTAACTCGGATCGCATTATTCATGTCAATGAATTCTTGACAAAGAGTGCTTATGACATGCTTCAGCGTGCTAAGAGTATCGCCAAAGAGAAGTCATATAAGTATGTCTGGATAAGGAATGGCAGGATATGTGTGAGACAAGCTGACGGCGAGCCTGTTATTTATGTCGATTCAGATACTGATCTTGCCAAGATCGTTTGACGGGTCCGACCTGATGGTCCATTACCTCTGATCACTCGGCATGATTCAACTTGTGATTCTTCTCTGCTCCGCGTAGCTCATTTTAACGCCAACTCACTTCCTGCCCATCTTGAATCAGTTCAAGCTCTCTTAGCGTCTAATTTTTTCCATACTGTTTCCGTATCCGAGACTTGGCTTCACTCGCATATTTCTGATGATACAGTACGAATTGCCGGATACTATTTGTTGCGTGTTGACAGAGGGGGTAGGGAGGGGGGTGGTGTGGCTTGCTACTGCGACGCTTATTTCTCTATGTGATTTTCCCGGAGGCGGGAGGCGGGACTAAAGCGCGTAGCAAATATATGATCGGGTGACAGAGCGGATCTCGAAAGCGATACGAAACAATGTTGGGCGCCAGGTGTGGATACGGCCACACCACCGTTTACTCTAAAATGGCGCGTAGGCAAGGAAACTCTCAAGCAAGCCTACGCGTCTCTCTAACCCGCGAAAAGTACTCTACATGAACTCAGCATAGATCCGACATAAACTCTAATTATCGACACAACTCTTAATTCACACGTCATGACACATCCGCTCTGGCCGATCGCAACGACTGCTCAGGAATTTCGTTAGAGGGTCGTGGTCCTTACATAGGCCGCATGCAGAGGGGTTTGACCTTGGCGAGGCGAAACAAACACAAAAGAAAGCACTCAAGTAACATGTAAATCAAAATATAATATAAGAAAAAGCGTGATAATAGCGGTACAACTTACAGGACGCGAACGAAGTATTCACCGCGATCCATCGCAATTCCCCGACCACGCAAGGTCGTTCGAAGGGTTCGCGCGTTATAAACAAACTCGGACGCAGAACTAATATTCTCGGAAAAACGTACGAGTAACTTGTACTCGCAATAGAAGTACACGAAGCGCAATCATATACGCCGATGAAAGAATACACGCACGAAATAGTCTACGCTAAGAAATACGCGAAAAGTAATAAGATACGCTGACGGAATTATACCCGCAATCGCTATAATCCACGCTAACTAACGAAAGAGTAAAATAACGATACGCGCACCATAATATCTCGCAAAATAAACGATACGCGCAATATAACTCAACGTTCCTCGTCAACTAAACGATACACGCAATATAACTCAAAGTTTCCCGCAAACTAAACAATACACGCAATATAGGAGTTCTCGCATAACACCTCTCGTAAATAACGCGAAGCCTCGCCGCACGGTCCACACCGCGAGCACGTGATACTCACGCCTAATTCAGCCCGGGGCGTACGGTACTCTCAGCCGGAGTAAATCTCACTCTAAATTTCTGAACGTTAATCGAGGTCGATTTCGGGCACCTTCTTCGAGAAGGCTGACTCTATGTCCGGTATGCTGACGCCTCACACTTCCCGTACCGGGCGCGGTAATGTACGTATCCCGGAGGCCGACACGCCCCAGAACGACCGCACGCACGGAAGCCCGCACGATGAAACTTTCACTACGCGAAAACTAACTCTAACGGAAACGCCGATATCTCACACACAGATCGGTAGACGCGATACTCATAAACGGTAATCTCGAAAAGCTCGAAACGGTAACTTAACTCTAATGACTGTTGAGCCGATCCGCGAGGTTTGATCTCGCAACACGCGCCACACTCAGGACGCATGGCCGGTGCCACGCGGTCGCTCGTCGTTACTCGATTATACTCAAAATCTTATACCACACCGGTCGAGTCGGGAAGAAACGGACGCCCCTTCGGTATTATTACGGGGCGTCAGCGGGCGGGCTATGTCTTACCCGTAGAAACGAAACGGAAAAGCGATAATCCCGGCAAGGGATTCACGACAATGACGCGTAGGTAAGGAAACTCTCAAGCAAACCTACGCGTCTCTCTCTCAAAAATTTAACGCGAAACGGTACTCGACAACTCGCCCCGCTGTTCCCCGATACCTGCAGTCCGGGATTGCTGGTCGTTTACATCTCGTCCTTCCTTCCTTCACAACGTAACTCCTAGGGCCGCCGCCCTCGCTTATTCCCGGCGCAACGGGAAGGCCCTTGCCGTACGTCAGCCCACGCTCGCGATCGACCCAACAGTGCCGGGATCGTTTCCGCGGCTTCGACTCGCGGCCCTCTAGATCAGGGCGCTTCACCGCACCGGCGGATGGCGCCACGCCATCGATACGGGCCCTCCGGCCGCTTCTTCCTGAAAACTATAAACTCGGCAGTACGCGCGCAATACAAAGATGGGAATGGGGACAACTGTGACGTGCACACGGTGCAACGTCACACTACATACATGAGACGCTAAAGGCGCGTGTCCTGGCGTCATCGCCTTCTGTTTTTTCCAATGAACCGGAGTATATTATTCTGGACATTCGCGGCGGCACACGCGAACCTCTTTTATTCACCTCTATGTACCGTAGACCAAAGGGAAGAAATTTTAATATTTATGTTGATGCGATTACGGTGTTCTTGCACAGTTACAAAAACATCATTATCACTGGCGACTTGAACTGTAATCTTCTTGCTTCCGCATATGAATCAAATCACTTAAGGGACACAGTATCACAATTGTCGCTGAATATTGTTGAGTCGCAATCGACTTACCATACCAGTTCTTCTAGCTCATGGTTAGATGTTTTTGTAGTCGACAACTTTGACAAGGTTTCATCATTTCGCAAGTCCGACGCTCCCTTCATCAATGGTCATGATCTTATCGAATTAACTTACTCATTCATTGTTCCGTCCTACGCAAAACGTACTTTGATTCGACGTTCCTACAGGGAATTCGATAAGCAGGGGTTTATTGAAAGTCTCACCTCTAAACTGTCTTCATCCTTTCCGCAAGATTTTGGCCACACGAGTCCTGATGAGTTGGATATCGAGGATTTCCTAAGTACTATTACTAATGACATCACCACCAGCTTGGATTCATTTGCTCCTATCCATACCTTTTGCGTAACCCGTCCGCCAGCGCCTTGGCTCACCGGCGATCTTGTTCGTGAAATTCGGCATCGCAACCGGCTCTACAAAGCCGCGCGTAGATCAGGTAATGTCCTCAATTTCCACATTTACAGGCTCTTCAGGAATAATCTCACGGTGGAGTTGAGAAAGGCCAGAGAGCAATATCATTTGGGGAAGTTGAGCACTATTTCTGATCCGTCTAAGATATGGCGTGAACTCACCAATCTGGGTCTAATCGAGTCGCCTCTTCCTTCACCTCTTAATTTTTTCTCTCGTGATCTTTTGAATGCCCACTACGCCTTTATCTCAAACTGTTACCCTCCTTGTTCACAATCTCAGTTTTCCGATATCATTCTTTCCACTGTACCTGAAGAACCACATTTCTGTTTCTCTCATATATCGCACGACAATCTATGCTCTCTAATGGTTTCAACATCGTCTGCTTCTTTTGCCTCTGGCCATGATCAACTACCACTGTTCGCTATTGCTTTGGCTTTGCCCCACATTGGTAATCTCTTGACCTCATTTTTCAATTGCTGTCTTGATCTAGGTTACTTTCCGTCTTCTTGGAAGCAAGCCATAGTGCGCCCGCTGTCTAAAGTCAAGTCGCCTACCTCTCCTTCGGATACGCGACCTATAGCCAACTTGTGTGAATTTTCTAAGTTGTTTGAAAGGATCATGCACCGACAAATCTTGGACCATATCAATTCCCATAATATTCTAGATGATCGTCAATCTGGTTATCGCAAGGGTTACTCTACCCAGTCTGCCCTTCTAAGACTATCTCATGACATTAGGAGTGGTGTTGATGTGGGTGAGGTTTTGATTCTGGTCCTTTTCGACTTCAGCAAAGCTTTTGACACTGTATCCCACTTTCTGCTACTAACCAAACTCAGGAAATTGGGGTTCTCTGACTTAGCTCTCAAGCTAATTTTCTCGTACCTCTCAGGTCGCTCTCAAGCGGTTGTTGACCTTGAGGGTGTTTTCTCCGACTGGCTATCCGTCACTGCTGGTGTTCCGCAAGGATCCGTACTTGGACCGCTCCTCTTTTCTCTGTTTATCAATGATATAGGTGCCTTTCTAAGGTTTACTGAGCATTTGATTTTTGCTGATGACACCCAAATTTATCGCAAGTGCCTCTTTAGCCAGCTGAGTATTGCCTTGCAGCTCGTGGCACATGACGTAGGTGTTATCTCTGAGTATGCCACTGTGAACGGATTGTCTCTCAATTTCAAGAAATCCAAGGTCTTAATACTAGGCAGCAGGGGCTACGTGGAGCAATTGAATCTCAAAGACCTGCCCCTTATTTCAGTCAATGGCACCTCCATTCCGTACGTTGACGAGGCAAGAAACTTGGGAGTCATCATGAGCTCAGATCTTTCTTGGAAAAGCCACGTCTCCCATATTTCTAGGAGGGTACACTTCACATTGCACAAGCTGAAATTTCATAAGAACTCTTTGTCATTTCAGCTGCGCGTAAAACTCGTGTCTGCATTGGTACGGCCTCTATTGGACTATTGCTCTCTTGTCTACAACGATGTCACCGATGAGCTTAATACTAAACTGCAAAGACTTATAAATTGTGCAATACGGTTCATTTTTAATTTGAGACGCGATGAACATATCACGCCTTATCGACATCAATTGGGGTGGCTGTCTGTGAGAAACAGACGCTTGTACTTCCTTGGTGTTGAAATGTATAGAATATCGAGGGATTTGTCTCCAAGCTATATCTTGGATATTTTTGCAAAAGCTGATCCCTCGATTAAGCGTTCGTCACGGTTGGCATTGCCGCATACGTTTCATATACCTAACCACAGAACTGAGACTTACCATAGGTCTTTCCACCTCGCGGGAATTTATTTGTGGAATTCTCTTCCTATCGGCGTGGTGTCTTCATCGTCTCTCAATGAATTTAAAGGCAAGCTCCATGATCACTTATTTTCGCTTGAGCTGGGTTCTGATCATGGTTCTGTCTCGGGGCTATCTATTGTACAAGCATAATCTAGTCTAAGCGTAACATAGTCTGTATATATATGCAGTTCCTGAATCTGATCTAGTTTTAGTTTAAGTGTTATTGTTCACTGTATATATATTGTTCAAAATTTTATCTAGTCTTAAGTTCGTACCATTATCACTGCGATTTGCGTCTTTAGTTTGTGAAACTATAGTATTGGTTCACTTCTTCTGCACCCTGCGTGGGGGCGAGCAGCATGCTTCAGCGCGCTTCAATCTCTGGTCCTTTAGAGAGTGAGCATGCACGCACTTTTGCTTTAGTCTATAATTTTTGTTTTGCCTTTTTGTGTTTTATTTCTTCTGCGTTGTTCATTTCTTGCCTAAAAGTCGTTCGACCATGGCATAATAAAAAACAATCAATCAATCAATCAATCTCTCTCTCTCACCCCCGCTCTGGAAAATTTCGTAACCAATTTCCAAAAAGATACCGATTCCCAAAAAAGATCGGTAACGAAAAACTATACAGTTTATAACACTCCCCGGGAAATTCTACCCCTACTTCATATATAATTTTTTGCGATTCGGTCAATTCCCGAAAAATTTGAAAAATTTCTGATACCGGCTTCCAAAAAAATCGGTAACGAAAAATTATACGCTTTATAGCATTTCCTGGAAAATTCTACCCCCGTTTCATATACAACTCTTTGAGATTCGGTCAATTATTTTCCAAAAATTAAAGAAAATTAGAAAAACCGGTTTCCAGAAAATCGGTAACAAAAAACTATACACATTATGACACTCCCCGGGAAATTCTACTCCTGTTTCATATATATTTCTTTGAAATTCGGTCAATTATTTCCCGAAAAAATGAAAAAATGAATGTATGTATGTATGTATGTATGTATGTATGTATGTCCTTTATGCACTCTTAAACTATTCGACTGGTTTTGAAAGTATTGTATATGAAGTAGGGGTAGAATTTTCCGGGGAGTGTTATAGAATGTATAATTTTTCGTTACCAATCTTTTTGGGAACCGGTATTCGACATTTTTTCATTTTTTCGGGAAATAATTGACCGAATTTCAAAAAAATATATATGAAACAGGAGTAGAATTTCCCGGGGAGTGTCATAATGTGTATAGTTTTTTGTTACCGATTTTCTGGAAACCGGTTTTTTTAATTTTTTTTTAATTTTCGGAAAATAATTGACCGAATCTCAAAGAATTGTATATGAAACGGGGGTAAAATTTTCCGGGGCCGGGAAATGTTATAAAGTGTATAATTTTTCGTTACCGATTTTTTTGGAAGCCGGTATCAGAAATTTTTCAAATTTTTCGGGAATTAATTGACCGAATCGCAAAAAATTATATATGAAGTAGGGGTAGAATTTCCCGGGGAGTGCTATAAACTGTATAGTTTTTCGTTACCAATCTTTTAAAAGATCTTAGTAAAATTATCTAAAAGTTATCTTTATTAAAGTATATATATATATTTATATATACAGTATATATAAGGAAAAGGAGAGAGAAAAAAAATATAAATATATATGGATATATTTATATTTTTTTTCTTTCTCCTTTTCCTTCCTCCCACTCTCGCAAGTCTTCACATCACTACGGATAACCGTCCATAGGTATAATAGCATAAAGTAATGCGTAAAATTGTAATATATTAAATAATTACTTTTTCTTCATTTCTTAATCACATACTTTATTGCAGACCTCGCACTTCTGCAGCTTCAATGGTTTGTGATATAGAGCCTTCTGCAGAAAGTCAGACACTTCCAAATGTTCAAAACTCCGTTGCAGGAGAAAATGTACACCAAGACCTTGATGCACTCCTTGAGTAATTATTTGTTTTCGTTATGAATTATTTGTTTTTTACTTATAATGACTTATAAAATATAATGACATCTTACATTTCATTGCAGACCTGGCACTTCTGCAGCTTCAACGGTTTGTGATAGAGAGATTGTGATAAAAATTTACTCCAAGAATTTGATGCAATCTATGGGTAATTATTTGTTTTTCTTATAAATTTTTTGTTTTTTACTTATAATGACTTATAAAATATAATGACATCTTACATTTCATTGCAGACCTAGCACTTCTGCAGAAAGTCAGACACTTCCAAATGTTCAAAACCCCGCTTCAGCTTCAACGGGAAATGTTGATGATGTAAACTAGTTTCTAAATCTGTTGAAATTTTTTGAAACACGGAAGATTCACATGGAAGGCATTTTGCAATAAATGCACACAAATTCGAAGACAGTTGGCATGAGGAAAAATCGACTAATCCTGTCACCGATATATCTCTTAAAGCGGAGATGCCAAATAGATTCGTTTCGAGGCAATTCGAGGTCACAGAGACCTACCAGGGAACTCTCGCCAAAGGCGGGAAAATATCGCAAAATCATAGTGCGAAAATCCTAATGTTGCAGATTTGGGCGAAATACCGCCGGTTTAAATAAAATGTACAGACCAATAAAAGCAATTATAATACTAATAATAATCAGATATTTTAAGTTATCTAGGTAATATTAATAGCTTGTTGCACGTAATGAATTATTTATTTCAAAATAAAAACGAGATGTATTAATTGCAAAATAATATTTTTAATAGACGCCCTATATATCGTAATTAAAAATATAAATTGATTACGTACATAGGATATTATTAACATCTATTATTACGCAAGTGCATCTATATGAGAAATTTTTTTCTGCACAAAGAAATAACAACTTTATTGAAAGTATTATCTACAAAGTTCTTTAAGGTAATAAGGCTCGGACCGTATTGATTATTCTCGACATTATCTAGCGATCAGTATCAACGGCCACTTATTAACGTTATTTCACGAAGTTGTTAATTATTTTAAAATATATTAATCATGAATATAATGGATACAATTAGGAATAATATAAGAACGTACATACATTATTAAATTCTTGATGATTCTGATGATTGTTATAAGTGATGTGCCGAAGGTTACAGATTTATTAAGCATCGCTCTTATTCTAATCAGAACTACCAACAATATACATAAACTGATTATAATTGCCGTGATAATGATGCTTTTACTTGGGGTATTATTGTATTGCAATAGGGATCAATTATTACTTCAATTATTTGGAAATGAGCCAGAAGATCAACAGCAACAATAAGGGCCTGATGCAGCAGATGGACCATAGCATGCTTAGAATGCATGATACACATCCTGCAGAAACGTATTGCCTTATTTTTACTAGACAGCGCTTCTAGTGATATGGTAACTTGTCGTGATCATATCTATTAAATGTTTATTCTAATTCGTTTGCTTATTTGCCTTATCCAAAGATTTAAATACGCAACGGATCGATGTGTCTGATCTGCAATGATAGGATAGTTAGTAGGAGAAACGACTGTAAACCAACCGATATCCGCGGAAAGACGCGTAACTTCCGCCGATAGAAACCGCACTGATGCCTCTTTGGATCGGTATCTTTGGCATTACCGGGAGGACAACCGTCCGAAGCAAGATGAATGGTCCGGATGCGGCTAAGAATCGACGAATGCCAGAGTCTCGACATAATAAGAGAACGACTTCCGTGGCCAGTAATGACTAATGAATTGCATCGGGGCTGGATGTCGAACGACCGTTTCACGTACACTGTCAGAATTCGAATGGATCGAAAATCTTGATTCATCTGTTGTCTGCCGCAAACGCGATACGGAAATCTTGCAAGAGCATCGACTTGATGCCCTTGCGACGGAGATCTTGTTCACGAGGCGGACGACGATCGCGAACGCGACGCGATGATAGTGATCGGAGGCAAGCTCACCTGGTGAGCAGGAAGGTCACCCTCGAAGATAGCAGTTGACCGCTCTTGGCGACTCGGAGTATGGAGTCGTGCTTCTCCCGGTTGAGCGGAGGGGCACGTGTTAAAGAACGTCTCGGGTTCCTTGACAATCACGCACTTTTAACAACTTATTGGGCGGCAATGCCGCGCATGAATCGGTGGAGAAACCACGCACACAGAATATTTGCCGTTTTGCCGAAATCACTTGATTTGGAGACGTGCAAAACGAGTCTGCCACGAGGCCGTTCTCTTCCGCCAGGAGAGTTCTCGAGAGACGGAAACGGGGGAAAGATCCGGAACGCGGCGCTCTCTGATTGATCCGATGATTGACGGCGTTGCCCGAGGGGCGCAGTTATCGCGAACAAAGACACTGCGCGTGTCCGGAATTGCGCCGTGCTCCGATTCTCGACAACGCCAACGCCGGCATGCTCGCACCTGTGCGTGGGGCGGCATCGACGCGTGATCAACCACGCGGGGCGGCGTGATCGACAACCCCGGATCGAATACGTGCCACGAGACTGACGGCAGGCACGTAAGGGTCAGCCTCGCGGCCCGATGCTTACATCGAGATTGCTATGTTCGATCCTTAACAACCATTAACATTGAATATATTATAGTTGAATAAAATATTTAAAATCCGATTAATGTTTAAAATTTCTTTACACGAAGGGATATTAAAAATATAATTGACAAACTTATGTTTCCAAATTATTTATAATAATAATTATATACATTTAATTTAAGTTTTACATGCATTTATATATTAAATTTAATAGCTTTTATACTTTAAATAATTAAATATTAACAGTTTACGTAAAAATGTTTAGAGAAATCTGTAGGTATTGTTTCATTTAAAATATTTTTTGATAATTTTCAGCTGCAAGTTCAAAAAAAAATAACGAAAATGTCTTAAACAAGAAGAAGCACGAGAACTGCGCTTGTTTGTATATTTTTATGCGTTTAAGTTTAGGTAAAGGTAAAGGTAACCAAACAGCCAGCCCCAAGAACTCTTGTTTCCGTTGCAAAAGAAAACAAAAAAAAATAGAGAACAAAACATTCACAAAGCAAACGAAAACTACAAATGTCCAAATACATCCAACGGAGTACGTCAGCCAGAGAATGAGGAGACAAACTCCTTCGATACCGGCTGATTATCAGGGTCGATAGATTATAACGGCACGGTTACGAATTATCGATTACGAATTATTACGCTAACGAAAGCGCGTTAATTATACACTAAAAAAAAATACTTAGATCCAAGAAAATATTTTTTCACATAGTACCAATGGCTTACTTATTTACTTAATAAAATCACATATTTATTTAGAATTAGATATTTTTACTTAATTTAAATAAATTATTATTTCTACTTAATTTATGTATATTATTTTTACTTAATTTAAGTAAAGATATCTAATTCTCTAAATAAATATGTGATTATATTAAATAAATAAGCAATTGGTACTATGTGAAAAAATATTTTCTTGGATCTAAGTATTTTTTTTCAGTGTATAAGAAAAAGATAAATAATCACGTTCATTAATAAAATATTAATTAAATTTAAATTAAACTTAATTTTGCATTTAATTTCTCGACAATGCGCGTAATTAACTTTTTCGATTAAGAAATGTATCGAAATTATAAAAAGCAAGAAAGAGTTATATCAAAGAATGCAAAGAATATATTAACCGCGTTTTAATCGAAATCGTCGAGATTATATCTCGATCGCGAATATCTGAATTTAAATAGCATAATGTACACGAAACAACCGAAATTAAAAAATCAATCGATGAATAAATCGATGAATAAATCAATAAATAAATCAATGATGGAAAAAAAATAGTACAATCCGAATCGCGAACCGCGAACCACGAACCGAACCGCGAAATAAATCACGAACATTATGTGATTTCACCTCAAATATCAAGAGATATACAGAATGAATGACGTGAGATCCAAAAGGGACAATAATTTCCGAAGCAATATATTCACGAAATTAAGTATCACAATCAATATAATGAATTTATCATATTCTTGCGCATGACATTTGGCTTTATAAATTTTCACATATTTCATTCATATTTATATAAATATCTCGTTTTTTTTTATTGCAAAGTGTTATTAAAAATATGAAAATTAATATGAAAATTATCAACTTTAAAATATTTCTATATAAAAATGTATTCTGTCCCGCGACAAAGTACTCACTGGATCTCACGTCATTTTTATTTGTTTTATTTATTGATACAAAGCCAATAATAATACTAGATGGATAGACTATAAGAGATTAGGATAAAATCGGCGTGTTATATATAACATGTATATAGGTATATAACTTGTATCCAAAAAATATTATTTATTTCTTGCAAAATTTTATTTTAATTCTTTTTCTCTTTCTGTGTCTATTTCTTAATAATTATTTTTAAAACAAATATAAAAGTATAATTAATTTAATAAATTTATTTAATTGATATTAATATCAAGAATAATGATAACTAATATAAATACTAATATAAAATACATATTTAAACAATTTCAATAAATCGCCTATTTTCAGGCGACTGGTATACTTGATGGTCAACGCGTACGGTTCTATGCACGAAAAACATTAGACACATCAACGAACGGATGCGTCGACCGAACGAGTTCTCGTGTAAACTCGTTGCGTAACGCGAGAGCCGTCTCCCGTAAGTAAAATAAGTCACGAAATGCGAGAGGGTTCTAAGCGTACGTCGTTTATAACCAAGTCTGCGTTAGTCTATCCATTTTAAGGCAACGGACCTGTGACAAGTCGCCGTTATCTGCTGTATATATATTACGTAAAAATAATACATAAATATACAATCTACGATCGTCACAGATTCGTTACCCCCGTATAAAAAATTTATTCGTACTCACCGACCAGATGCGCAATGGGCGGAGTTAGTCAGCCACGTAGCTCCGATGATTCTGTAACACAAAAATGAAAGATTCAAATTAAATAGACGCTCAAAATGACCAATGTTTCAAAAAATAAGTTTTACACACGTCTAATTCGTCTTTTAATTAGATTTACTAGTATAATTTACTTATTTCCCGGGAAAAAGCTTTACAAAAAAAACCTTTATAAGAATAAACTTTTATAAAATTTTAGACAAAATTTCGGTTTTTCAAATTATTTCTTACTTATCGGAGATAAATAGGCCCGAATAAATGGAAAAAAACTATTAATTTTTAAAATAAGAAATAACACTTACCCCAAGGTTGCTCCGCCAGGGCCCGATGCCTTTGCCAGGCCTCCTCCTCCTCTCAGACCGTCTGGGTGGTCAGGCCTTCTCCTTCCGCACAGGACACTCACAGAACC